AAAAAAAAAAAAAAAACACTATTCTAGTTATTAAGGCATGTTAGATTAGGTTCAGTAGAGTCGGTAGCTTTTGGGGTTTGTTTTTTTGGTAAGGGGGATATTATGACCCCTGCATAAACCCAAACGGTTAACCTTTAGTTTTCTGGGATACCAGACCTGAACCCCTAAACCCCAAATGAACCCTGAACCCTGAACCCTAATCTCTCAACCCTAAACCCTAAACCCTGCTCTCTCAACCCTAAACCCTAAACCCTAAACCCTAATCTCTCAACCCTAAACCCTGAACTCTAATCTCTAAACCCTCAACTAAGGAACTCCACAAGCAGGGACACCTCCCGGACGTGGCACTTCGGATCTTCTTGAAGAAGGCAGAAAGTTGAAAGAAGACCAAGCGTTAGAAGGGTTTAGGGTTTAGGGTCTAAGGTTAGAAGTATGGGCCCCTAATATGGACACTCAGGCCTCTCTAAGGGCCCTTAAGGGTATAGTAGGTGTATAAGGATCCCGGGGTTAAGGGCCCATACTAGGGGCCCATGGTTTCAACCTTCGAAAGAATCAATAAACAAGTGAACAAACCCTCAACCCTAAACCCTAAACCGTGGGTTAATATTCAAAAAAGATCCAGAAAGCCCTGTGAGATCCAGTGAGCCCAATGAGCCCTGCTCCGGCACCCAGATTGCCTGGGCTTTTGATGTGGAGCAATATGAATAAGACTATTCATGATCAACGTTTAGATGAATAATAGCCGCAGCAATGATAATAATCAACATCGTACTGATAATCGCAACAACAAAAATAGCACTAACGGAGATAAGAAAAAGCCAGTAGAGCCTTGCGCCAGGTGATTCAAGCTCGTGGTGGTTCCGGGACTCTCCTTTGCCTGCTTGGCTGCCAGCTGCCGTTCCTATACTTGCAGCTCCTTTCCCAGTTGGTGCACTTTCTGACGATGGTGATGGCTGTGGATTGTGGCATTGCCACAGGGGCGACCCTGATCTGCCACGACATGGGGAGCCCGATTCTGAAGTTCGTCCAGATGCTCATGGTGACTTAAACATTATTGTAATAGTATTCTTATAATTGAAGCCCCCAAAACAGTATAGGCAACTATTTAGGCCCCCATATTATCCCCAATAGAATAGGCAACTATTAACCCTAAACCCTAAACCGTATTATCCCAAATAGAATTGCAGGTGACCTATTTCTACAATGGCTGCCTGGAGATCGGCCGGAGCTTTGCAAATCCTTGCAAGCAAGACTTCTCTGACTTCCCACGCCACGCCTACCACTTCAGTCTCTAGGATGTTCAGTAGTATCCTTATCCTTTTCTACTTTCTGTGGGTATTGGTTCCTAGAATAACTAACCCAAAAAGTATATCGTTTTTCCCGGTTTTTTTACTGAACAGCCTAGGTCTTCGCAATGAGGCGGAGTTCTTCCACAGCATCGCCGAGAAGCCGCCCCTGGCCGGCATCCGGCTCCTCGGCGAGGCCGCGTCTCGCACTTAATATAGGGGCCTTTTTGATAATACTTATACTGTTTCGGAGGGCTCCGTAATATATTTATCGCATAACATACCTCCAAGCCTTATCCTACTTATCAAGGCCCCTATATTCGACCTGTTAGAGCTGGCTTGCCCGGTTTCCCTGCGAAGCTGGGGGCGGCTGGTTGGTTGAGCTCTGCTGCTTTGCCTCCTAAAGTTGGAGAGCAAGGTGGGGAATACCACCTTCTTCGAAAAGAGCAGCTCATGAAAGTTCAGATGCTTGAGGAATGCTTCGGCCAACAAACAAAGCAAACACCGAATCCATATAGCACAGTATAACATACTATACCATGCCAAAAAATATACTAGATTAGTACAGTATAGTATAGATAGTGAAAAACACATATACATATCTATATATATATATATATGTATATGTATATATTTCTTTATCTATTATCTATTTATGTAATTATGTAATAAGTGGATGCCAGGCCTGGTCACAGTGGCCGGACAGTTGGAAAGCTCAGCCTCTCCAGCTCGGGCTCCAACAGACCAAGAGTTTAAGCTTAGTGGCTGAGTAGGTAACCTTTAGCCTTTTGGGTTTAGGGTTTAGGGTTGTCACAAGGGTTTAGGGTTCAGTGGCTGAGTAGGTAACCTTTAACCTTTTGGGGCTCTTATAATCCTACTAAAATTCAAAAGGTTACCCTCTTTTGGGCTAGGGTACTCAGCCCCTAAATAAGCGGTTTGCCGGAGGACATTCTGCTATAGGGGCGTTAATAAATACCTATACTATTTTTTTTGTTTTGGGGGCGGGGTCCTTCTTATATGTATAGTATACTGGGCCCAAAAAAACCTACTTTCACTGTTAAGGCCCCTACATTATCATACTATATCATATTATCCTCTAGTACTCAAGAGTTTGGGCGGTTCGCCAGAGGGTATTGTCTCATATTCTAGTGTATGGTATTACCTTATTTAATAGTTGAATAAAGTGTAGTATGATTTAGGATTATCGTATAACATGTTATATGGCATAAACGATATCATGAGATTGCGGCTTGAATGCAGACATTAGGTTTGCTGGGTTTAGCGCATCGGCGATGCCCTCCTGAAGCGTGATTTCGCTTTCGTGTCTTCAGGCATCCTTCGAGCAAAAAACCAGAAATCAGCGTGTACCAGTTCCAAGCACCAGGGCTTGCTCAAGCACTACTTGGAGATACTTATAACCCATATTCGGGGACTTATAACCCGACTTATAACTACCCATGTGCCATGTACTCCGGCGAAGCCCCAGAGTCTCGCGAGACTCAGATTTGGCAGCAGGAGCTGATTGGCACGGCTTCCTGCAGAGATGGCTTTCTCCTCTCCAAATGCTCGCCTGGCGCAAGCATCCCAATGACTCGGATGTCTCTTGGCTCAGTTGGGCTGAGGGTTTAGGGTTTAGGGTTTAGGGTCTTAGATTTGTCGAGCTTCGGGTGTCTATCACGGGGCTCGCGGTCTTACGGTTGTGAGTCTTTGCTGGTTACAGTTGAAGGGCAAAGAGTGTCTTGATGTTGGGGCCAGGGAACCGATCCCCCAGAGATCCTCTACATCCCAGACATTCCCAGACTACTCAACACGTAACCCCTTGTCGCACTGCATGCGGTTTCGGAGTAACCCTAAACCCTAAAGCCCGTGAAACACGGAAGCCCGAACCGCGACATGTGGAGTGCTCGCTTCGAGACCTCCACCAAAAGAGGGCAAGATGAAGCCGATCTTGTGATAAACTGTTATATAACTAACGTACGACGTTATATCCTACTGTAATATTATATGCTATGATACAGTATGATATGATATAATATACTAGGCCATACTATACTACACGATACTATACTATACTTTGCTATATCATGCCATGCTAAACTGTACTATATTTCGCAACACTACACTACACCATATTATGCTGCACTGTACTACACTATACCATAATAAGACATACCATAATGAAGTACATCCTGCAATAGACCATGCTCCACTGCCGTTGCTGCAGAACAGCACTGACGCTACTAGAGCCCCAAGCACCTAAAGGCTCTAAGCAACTACTTCGTAGAGGGGTATGGGAGGGTTAGAGTAACATTATGCTGTGGAGTATCATAATAATATAAGAAAGCAAACCTAGTATATTATGGTATGGCTATACTAAGGAGCACCAAGGAGTATGCCCAAAGAGCTTGTCAAAGATTCTTGGCGCCGGTGCTCCCTTAAGTTTGCGTTCAGAGCATGAGTGTCCAACTTTATCAGGGCAGCTGTGCAAGATTGAAGGTCTGCATTCTGGACGGCCATACCGATGTTCCTCACTGGTGCTGCTCGGCCTCTTTTAAATCTATTCATAAGGATGCTTGGAGGTTCATGGGTAGTTGTAAGTGGGGCTATAAGTAGGATAACTACACATATAACCCATAGTAGGGGACTTATAACCCTACTTCTAACTACCCATGAACCTCCAAGTGGCTCTCTCTTGGGAAAGGCAGTGGCCCCCGTATTCGACGGTTTGGGTCCGTCTATGCCAAGAAGCTTATGACCATGGAAGCAGAAACCCACAGGGCTGGGGGTTTTAGGGCTTAACGTAGGGTCCTAACTAACTACCTATACTATGTTTTTTTTT